GATGTATATGAGTAAGCAGAGCACTGTGCTCCTCTATTCACTAGTTAGTGGCACTTATGCACTCACCACCTGTCTCCTAGTGGTGTGATCTACTGGTGAGTGTGATAGAGAATAAGAGTGGCTGCATAGATCTCTGTTAATGTTTGTGAAGAGCAGTTAAGGGTAAGTCAGGCTCTTATTGGTGGTCATGTATTGTTGGCTGATCATTGTAGATGGAAATGGTAGCTGTCACTCAGTAAGTGGAGCTTCAGGAGATGTGGTTATGATTTGGTGGTATGGGCACAGTTGCTGTTTCTCATTCAGTTGGACAAAAAACAACCATCAAAAAAGTAAAAGCAGAGGACAAAAGCACACACCACATAAACACACAGAAACAATCACCAAAGAGAAAAAAAAAAAGAGGAAAGGCTATAAATGAGATAAAATATTTAAAGAAATACTTTTAAAAACAAAAGAAATATGAATATGAAAGAAAAAACCTACAATATCTGGGGAGGGGGAATAAGAGAAAAGAGAGTAGGGGAAAAAAACAAAAAGAAAAAAAAAGGAATGGGGAGAACCACAAGAGAAAAAAATGGGAACCAAGAAAAAGGAACAAAGAAAAAGCTGAAAACTAGAACCTGGGAAGGGAAAAAGAAAGAATAATAATAAAAAGGAGGAGACATTAATAATAATTTTAAAACAGATAAAAACAAACAAACTAAAAAAGAAAAAAATCTGGACAGGGTAGGAACAGGGCACCCACGCTCTGTCAAAGCACACAGACTGGGATGCTAGCTAGAAGGTGAGTGGGAGTGAGGGATGGCCACACCTCTGTTCACCAAGAAGGTGTGCCATATAAGAGTAACAAGGGGAATATTACACCTTTCCAGTCCTCAGTGTTTGGTATGTTCTTGGTGTCCTCAGCAAGTGGAGCCTCTTCTTAGGTCACTGGAATCTGAGAGAATGCTATCACTTTAAATACCTAAAATAGTCGAACCACTTGTAAACATTCAAAATGGCTGCACCCTCCAGATAGCCAAAAGTCCACAGCTCAGCCCATCTCTCTCTTTGCTGCTTCCTCTTTTATTCACCAGTCACCAATGCAGTCCTATATGCAATCCCTGGCTAGCAGAGCTGATTTTTAGATTAATTTTTAGGTCTTAACACCACTTGGCAGTATCCAAGCTCTCTATGCTGTTAGGATCGCTGATAGTCCGCAGCTCCGTATGTCTCCTTTTTCTCTGTTTACACGCAGGTTCTTCTACTAGTTGGAGTTTAGTCCACTTCTGTATCCTTCCTTTCAAAGGTCAGGGCTTCAGGATTATCTTCTGAATCTGTGTTAATTGGTTCCCCTTTTCTTTGTTGAAGAGGGTCTGTGTAATTTGCCTATTCCACCATCTTACCGGAATTCTCTCCTATTTTCTTATCCTGATTGAAAAGGGTTGCCATTCCTAATGAGAAACCTGTGTTTCAAGTATGGGCTGGTTTTTCCCAAAATGCATATTACCAGTAAGGATACTACACAAACCAAGAGAAATAGCATGCGAGGCCAAATTATCCATCAGTTCTTTTCATACCACAGGGTTTGTACATAGGAAATGTTCAATAAATGTTTTTTGACTTGATCAGTTCTGCCAGTAGTATCAGCTGTTTCCTGTATACATAGGTATTTTTAAATATTTTTGAATTTTTTACCTAATGTTGTGGATTCAATGGGGAATGCAAAGCTTTTGTTTCTTTTCTTCATAGGACAGAAGAAAGGCAGTTCTGGATTGGGTTTAATAAAAGGAACCCACTGAATGCTGGCTCTTGGGAGTGGTCTGATGGGACTCCTGTAAGTCTTTCCAAACTGGAGAAAAGGAGATGAAATTCCAAGTGGATGGCCCTGGAGCCACTTGGTGAAACAACCAACCACAGTGGAGTTCTGTGAATGAACTAAAACAAATCCCATTATCATTGAGTCAACTCTGACTCATGGTGACATCATGTGTGTCAGAGTAGAACAGTGCTGCATAAGGTTTTCAATGGCTGGTTTTTCAGAAGTAGATCACCAGGCCTTTACTCTGAGGTACCCAGAGACTCTGAATGAACTAGGAACCTGAAAATATAATCACATCTTCCCGGACCCTAACCCAAAGAAAAACAGCATCATTAAAACCAGGAGAATTATTTCAGCAAGGTCCTGGGAAGGACCTTTGCGAGCCAGAGAGTTCTGAGGCCATCTAATGAATCTCATGCTGGAAAGAAATCAAAATAAGCCAATCACAGAAGGACAAATATTGTATGATTCTATTATTGTAAAAAGTCAAGGAAAGGTTTACACAGGGAAGAAAAATTTTTGGTGTTACCAGAAATGGGAGAGGAAGGGAAGAGAGGGAAAATAGATTGATAATTAAGAGATAGGTTAGATAGAGGTGAAGGGGTTTAAAATAACAGTAATAATTATATATATTAGAAAAAAGAAATAAGATTAGCCATCAGTTAATAGTTTTTGAAGCTAGGTTATGGGTATGTGGGGGTTCATTGTACTAGTCTTTGTTTCAGTTTGAAATGTTTTCAAATACATTTTTGAAGTAAAGAATCTCTGAAAAGAACCCCAAACCATCTCCCATGTCAAGTCTCAGGGCAGAGAAAGAACTATTCTTTTAAATAATATTAGGCAACTATCTTTGCCCTACTCTCCCTTTCTTGATAGCACCTGATTGTGTGGGTGTGGGAGCCTCACCCACGTCACAATGAAAAGGAGACTATCCTGGAGATCCATTTTAAGTTTATCTCACTCTAAAAGGACAGGATACCACCCTTAGAAACACCACCTCTTTCTCAGCCAGAGCAAGTTATCTGGAAGGAAAAGACTTGCTTTTCATTTAATCCCATACCAGCAAACCTCTGGGAAGGGGAGAGAAAATGCATTATTCCATTTATTTTTCCATATTCAGTGAAGACTTCTCATATTTTCCTCAAGAGTATAAGAAAAAAACTGCAATACTATCCTAGATTAAAATGGATTCAATCCTAGGGCACATGCAAAATCAAGTTGCTAAATTTCACCTGTGAAATTGGGAGACTAGTAAGCATTTAATGACAACTGTCATTTACTGAGCCCTTATAATGTTTCAAGCACTGAGTTGAATGCTCATTATCTCCTTTCATCTTCACAAGGGTACAATTCAATGGGCTATTATAATGATTAAGTGGTTTGCCTAAAATAATATATAAGATAGCCAAGATTTGCCTACAGGTTGTCTGACTCCAAGACCACAATGTTGTAATGTCTACCAGGTGGTAAAATAACATTAGACAAGCTTTGTAATAGGTCACGATCAATAGAGAAAAGGGATTTCTGGGCCTGCTCCCTAGATGTTCAAATTTGTGGTTAAGAATGGATTTTGGGAAAAGCGGTATGCCTATACCCATTGCTATTGAGTCAGATCCAACTCATAGTGACCCCTCCTTGGGTTTCCAAAGCAGTATCACTATGGAAATAGATTGTCCAACTTTCCTTCCAAGGAGTCACTGGTGGGTTTGAACCATCAGCCTTCTGGGTAGCACTCAAATGCCTTAGGCACTATGCTGCCAGATCTCCCATATGCCTATAGTGGGAGTGAAAATAACGGTAAGGGCATGCTAATTAAAAAAAAAAAAAAAATTGACTTTTCCATCCTGTTACTGCTTCTTTGAAAAGGGTATCAGAATCTGAGCATGGTAAGATATCTTAGAGGTCATCCAGGCCCACCCACCTATTTTGCTGTTGAAGAAACAGAGGCCTAGAATGCAGAAGAGGCATAGCATGTTGACCTGCCCACAAATGGTATCCACCATATGACACAGCTGGGTAGTTAACATTAATATGTTAAAATGAAATTAATATGAAGAATCAAATGTGGCCCATAGAAGTTGAGAATGCTGCATTTGGTTTTAGTTAAACACACTCATTAGTAGTAGGAGAGAAATAGATAATTTTGTTCAGAACAAATAGGCTAAAGCCATGAACAGCTGTTGACTGAGTTCCTTAACCATTTCCTGCTAAACAAATTGAAGTAAAACTCACCGTTCTTTGAATCTGAGGTGATGTATGTTTCATTTAAGTGAATTGTATGATTTGATACAAAAATTATATATGCCTGACAAGGAAAATAAATAGTTTCAAAAATATCCTCTTTTTTTGGCAGACAATGGGCCTATAAGTTCATGTGAATGATCAGAATTCCCAGGTGTATAGTAGAGCTGACAAGGGGCAAGGTTATGGTCATTGCTTGGTCACAGCCAGCTACCCAGAGGGACTGAGTAGTTGATCCTGCGGGCTTGGGACCATAGTCACAGGGGACATCAAGCTCAACTGGTATAACATACTATACAAAACATTGTTCCACCTACTACTTTGGCGAGTAGCGACTGGGACCTTAAAAGCTAGGAAGCTGCCATCTAGATGCAACAACGGGTCTCTCCTCGTCAAGAAGAAAGAAGAAAACCAAAATTAATGGAAACAATCAGTCCTAGCGACTGGTACACCATCCGATCTGCAACCTATACAACTATGAGACCAGAAGAACTAGATGGTGCCCAGCTACCATTGTCATCCACTTGGAAGGGATGTAGGAGATCCTGCATAAAGAGGGAGAACAATGTGGTATAAAACTCAAAATCGTTTGGAGGCAAAAAAAAAAAAAAAAAAGAAGAAGAAGGTGGGGACCAGGTTTGCTGGTCCAAAAGAGCCTGGTGTAACCACTGAGACTATGGCCCCTAGCTGCCTTTCAGGTCTGGAATTGAACCCATACCTGTGGTTTCCAGCCAAACAAAGTACAGGCATGTGAGTTAAACATTTACCTCAAGTAGACACATGCCCTGGAGAGAACAATCATGGGAGAAGGAAGGGCTGCTTATGCACAGGGAGATAGCTCAGGGTGCAGAAGAGTATGAAGGGATGGACACTGGGAGGAGGTAACTATGGGGAGGAAGTGGGAGGGGAGCTGCTGCATTGTAAATTTTGGTCAATGACATGAGACAAAGTATATGTGAACTGCTGTATGAAAAGTGAATTTACTCTGTAAATCTTCACCCAAATCCTAATTTAAAAAAAAAAAGAAAAAAATATCCTCTTTTTTCCAAATTTTTACCCAAGTTTTATTTGTAGTCCGTCCATTCTTCTGCTGAATCACTTAATGGTCAAGAAGATTAAATTTTTAGTTAATATCCCTGATATTAAGTAAATATCCCTGATGATATTTGATCATTAATGGGACATGTTGCATTTTTTCCCATTTAAAGCTAACTGTGGCTTAGAATTTAGTTATTAGAGACTGAAATTTTAGTGTTTATGCAGAAAAGAAAAATCTACATCAGAGATGACACCCAGATCTGACACATCCCTGAGCCTGTAAGAAGTTTATCTAGGACCCAGGGCTAGACTAATTCTGCCAGTTAAAAAAAAAAAAAAACAGTGCAAGTTCAAAATGATGCTTGCATCTGACTTGCTCCTTCTAGAGAAAGGAGCAGTGTGCTATTATTAAGGAAAAGCATTTTTAGAAAGTTCTAAATATTGATTAGTTTGTTCTTCCCAAAAGTGGAACAACTTTGAACTGGAATCATATCCAGTCATTTCTGAAGTTTCCTTAGTTGCAGTAGATTTCCTTCAGAAATCTAAAATGATTAGTTATAAGATAGTTGTTTTTGAGCTTTTGAAATTTTTGTGGGTGAATCATCATTAAGGAATAATCATCTGCTGCAGGTTGTCTCTTCATTTTTAGACAATATTTATGTTGGAGAAGATGCAAAAAATTGTGCTGTGTATAAGGCAAACAAAACATTGCTGCCGTTACAATGTAGTTCCAAACGTGAATGGATATGCAAAATTCCAAGAGGTAAGAATATTAATAAAGTTTTCACTATGTGTTTGCTTTCTAATGTTCTATAGCACTTCCCCAAGATTTACAAAGGTGTGACGCTTAAGCACCCTAAACCAAATTGGCAACACCTGCACAATGAGCCAAATGGCACTAACTCTTTTTAGTGTGAGTGTGGTAAATATATATGTTAAAAAAAAAATTCCATGTCAACAGTCTTCATCTGTACAGTTCATTGACATTAATTATTACATCATGTTGTTCAGCAGTCAACCTTATCTGCTCCCAATTTTTTTCATCACCCTTAACAGCAGCTCAGTTTCCCCTAAGCACTGAGTCCTCTTTTCCTCCTCCCTCCTGCCCACTAACTCTTTCAGAAAAGAATGTTATCTAGAGAAATGAATAAAAATAATACCAGTGCAATATGCTAAGTTAGTTAACTGGAAATAAGGATATTATGCTAATATTGTAGAATATTTCATTTTGCAAGTACAGTCTGGAGGAAATTTCACCTTGACATTAAAAGCGAACAGAATTACTTGTAAAAATCATAAGAAGATAAAAACATCTAGGACAGTGTTTGACACGGTCAACAAGTGTTCACTTCCTTCTTTATTCAGAGGCCTACTTTGAATCTCCTCTTACTTGTTATTGTTTTAATGATTTTTTAAAATGTAAAGTACAAAATGATGTTTTTAGAGCTGTACTCATTTAGAGACCATGCCTCTGTGAAAAAAGCTCAGTCAAGGTGGTTTGCTTTCAATTTGCAGATGTGCAACCCAAGATTCCACGATGGTACCAGCATGGTAAGAAAGTGTCCTAGCCGTTCCTGAACTTCTTATTATGAATTATTTGTATAACATTACTGTATTATTAAATTCCTCCAACTGAGCCTCTCTTATGTGAATCTAGAAATAATGGATTCAAATTAATAAATTTAATAACAAACAAATTAATAAATGTCATTAAATGTGACTAAAGAAAACTTAACTCCATTTTCATGATGCATGATTTTAAAATATGTATGTATTCCTGACCTTTGAATACTAGTGAAAGTTTTATGTATGTGATAGCCCAAGGAAAATAAGCAACAGAGGGAAAAAAAGTAGATAATTAAGAGACAGGTTTGATATGGGTGAAGGGATTTAAAAAAGAAAGAAAAAAGATTAGCCATTAGCTGATAATTTTTTGAAGCTAGGTTCTAGGAGCATGAAGGTTCATTGTACTAGCCTTTGCTTCTGTTTGAAATATTTCATAATTTTAAAAAAAGGAAACTAAGCAAGTTATACATGTGTGTGTGTGTGTGTGTGTGCGCACACTTACAGTATGTGTGTGCTCATGTCCATTGAGCCCACATTGGTAATGGGATCACTCAGCATTTAAAAAAATGTATATGTGTGTACACATACATATCCACATATATACATATTTTTTAATGCTGAGTGATCTCGTTACAAATATAGAGTCAGTGATAGCATAACTCTCTCAATACCACTATCTTTCTCAATAGTTTTTGCACCATTTGGATTGTTTACTTTCATTTCAGATGAACCTTGGCTCTTTTACCAGGATACAGAGTACCTTTTTCATACCTATGCCTCGGAATGGGCTTCCTTTGAGTTTGTCTGCAGCTGGCTGCGCAGTGATCTTCTCACAATTCATTCTGCACATGAACAAGAATTTATCCACAGCAAAATTAAACTGGTACCTACAATTAACCATGCAAATTTAGAGCTTAGCAATTTCTTCTGTCCTGTGCAGGACTTTTTTTTTTTTTTTTTTTTTAACTCACTTGAGACATTTATGTAAATTTCATTAGAAACCATAGGTTGTTGAGAATTATTTTTCTTCCTGTTATAGAGATTGAAAGAGAATAATGGAAATCATTGTCTCTTAATGTCCATAATGTCGTCGTTGTTGTTATTTGCCGTCGAGTTGGCCCCGACTCATAGCGACCCCTCCTTGGGTTTCCGAGGCAGTATCACTAGGGAAGTAGGCTTGCCCAACCTTCCTTCCGAGGAGTGGCTAGTGGGTTTGAACCACCAGCCTTCTGGTTAGCAGTCAAGTGCCTTAGGCACTATGCTACCAGAGTTCCCAATGTCCATAACAGGAAGGTTTAATGGGTAGGTTAAGCATTTTACTTCTCTTCATTCTTTATTAGCAGCAATGGTGGGTAAGTAGTTTTATTGTTTTTGCAAGGTGTATTCGATCATTCATTAAAGACATAATTGTTGAGAGCCTACTCTTCTAGGAGAGCACTGATAGCATAGTGCCTAAGGCATTTAACTGCTAACCAGAAGGCTGGCAGTTCAAACCCACCAGTCACTCCCTGGGAGCAAGATTGGGCAATTTACTTCCATAGAGATATTGCCTCAGAAACCCAATGAGGGGTCGCTATGAGTTGGACCCCCCATGACTTGATGGCAGTGAGTTTGGTATTTTGGACTCTTCTAGGGAATAGGCCTCTATCATTGAATAAGGCAGACCAAAATTCCTGCCATCATGGAGCTTTTCATAGTCTCGAGTGGGGAAAAAAAGATATAATCAATATAAGTAAATAGAATTACATGCTATTTTATTGTGTTGTTATGTGCCATCGAGTGGGCCCCAACTGATAGCGTCCCCTCCTTGGGTTTC